CCGCAAATTTAGCAGTCTTCGCTACCACCATCTTCAACTCTTCGGGGTCTAGCTCCCCCCTTAACTGCTTTTGAAGCCTCATAGTCGAGCCCCGCTTAACCGTAGCTAGGTTCTTCCCCTCAAAGTTCTTCAATGGGTTCAGGGAGAGAGCTAAGACTGCACCCGAATGGTATTAGTTTCAGTAGGAGGAACCCTATATAGGCCAGCCAAGCGAAGAGAAGCCGACTCGAAGAGATTACTAATCTCTCGAGACCCAGTATAAGTTCGGATATTCTCTAGTTTTTTTCCCTCCTCAACCGAGAACAAGCTTGGCTTCAACATGTCCTTCCTAATGTCCGGCCATGTTAGACAAGACAAGACGGGGTTGGCTCCAAAGACCCACATGAACTTCTCCTTCCAATCTTTGTTCGAATCAGGGATGTTCATCACAAGCTTGGAGACACCCACGTTCAAGAAGAAGTGGTGCCACTTATTCGTAGCTTGACACTGATGAAATGGCTAAACCGACAAAGCATCTATTCAATGCCAACCCCGTGGTATATCATCGTGAACCCCACCATGGTAGCAATAGAGTTGGGCACAATTTGTACAGGAGATACCCCTAGTGCCTCGGTAACCTAGCGGATGAAGGGGTGAAGGGGTAGCCGGAGCCCATAATCCAAGTGCTTCAAGTAGATGGGCACCCCGTCACCCCCATGATGATACACTGATTCAGCCCTATCTGACGCCGACAAGGTAAAAACCTTGGGGATATCAAAGCGATCATAGTAAACTTCGAGCTCCTCTGTGCAAAGCTTTGAATGAAAGGATGGAAGAGATCAATTCTCATCTCATTATGACTAGTAGTAGGAGCGTTGAGGTCATTGCATATCTCGAAATTTAGCACGAACTCACCTGAGAAAGAAGAAATCTTGAACAAGAAGATAATGCAAAAGTTGTAGAGAAAATCTCATTCGCAACGAAGAGATGTATGTAGGCCTTGAAGAGGACACACGTTGAGATTAGAATAGTCGATTCAGTCTAAAACGAAGGGATGAGATCAACCTTATAATCTGAACGGGCCTTACAAAAAATGAAGCGCCGCCCTTTACTCAACATGCTACTATGTGAGAGAATCGACGCGATAGCGACGCATAATCCTTTATGACGTCAAAAGGCCTCTCCAGCAGCAACCCCTCACTTTCCCCATAAATGCTCTTTAGAACTCACCAACAGATGAATATCCAAACTTCTATTGGTGTCAAACCCATCAGATATGTGCGGCCAACCTATTAGACGGATAACTCGTGTGATCGACTGAAAAGGCGCTGTTAGTTGGCCCTCAATAAGGGTGACTCGAACGAGTGGAACGCTTACCTTTGTTGAGTCAAGTCATCATTG